AGCTTGGCGTCTCTGTCAGCCTGAATAATGAAAAACCTGCATACTGTGGCACTGAGGTCTGGGAGCAGCCATGTCTCTGTGAAGTATAGCAGACTGCATTCACTTTCCTCTCTCATGTCTTATTAGCACCCACAGCTTGTCCATCATTCTAGCCTTTGTTTTGATTCCTAGCAGGGTAGATAAATTTACTATCACTAACAATACACCATAATATTTATGTTTTGGTGCTTAAAAAACATATCTACGGATAGAGACTGATCAATGCTCTGCATATGGCTTATTGAGTGAGTCAAAAATACACAACAGTGGCAGTACAGATGAAAAAGAAAAACGTTTTACTACTGTTTATGTTGCATGCTGCCATCTTGGATTGCTAGCTCACTTCAAATCTGAGTTGATTTCCGACTGGGAACTCGGAATTTCCAATTTCTGAGTTGTTCAGGAAAGCACCATAAATGATGGATAATGAGCCAAGGAAAGTAAATCTAAAAGAAAGGCACAAGGGAGAACACACTTTTAAAATAAAGAAGGAAGTTTGAAAAGAAACCAAATGGGGAAACACAGTCATACAAATGAACTTAATACGCAGAGCGTACTGCTCATCAGCAGTAACCACCTCCATCATCACCACTATCACCACCACCATAATCAGCAGAAAAAATAAATACGTTTAAAAAAGCATATTTTGGTAGTTAAGGTCTTCTGTGTTCCAAGTGTCACAGTGTACAATAAACTAACCAGTTTTTTTGTTTTCAGGAGTGAACTTTGAAGAGAAGACCTTACAGGAATTTGGAATTACCACTAACAGCACCATAAGAAGCACAACATGGAGCAGAAGTTACTGATGAAACAGACAAGTTTTGTTTTACTGGGACAGTCACACCTGCACTGCAAATCATACAGACTGATGGTGTGATGTCATTAATAGACCTTTATTTGCTATTAAGTTTAAAAAACAGTAAGTGGAGTAAAGTGACTAATGACCCTGAAAGTAGTTTTTAAGGGTAGTAAGTCAGTATGATTAACTAAGAACTCCAACTGCTATTTTATGACAACTATATTTTTCCCTAAAATTCATAACTGACATAATTAACAAGCCAAGCAAAAGCTTTTATTTACAGTTAGAAAAGCTGGTCTAGTAGGCCAAGATGGCTGACCACTACCAGAACAACATATACAACCAGGGAGACTATCCTCTTCAGGGAGACTACCCTCTTCAGGGAGACTACCCTCTTCAGGGAGACTACCCTCTTCAGGAAGACGATGCAGCAAGTGATGTGACTGAAGGACATGATGAAGAGGATCAGATGTATGAAGGAGAATATCAAGGGATTCCACATCCTGATGACACAAAGGCTGCACAGAGAGCTGCATGGTGAAGCACTGCATATTTAATGTTTCTGGGCACTTTCACTGTAGAGTGGTAGCTGGTGGTGAGGGATCTCAGGAAATCTGAAAAATGGATCAGTCATAAATGCATTTACAAGTTTGTGCCATATCACAGAAACTAAATAAAAAGGGCTACTGCACTGGAGTTTAAACTTTAATAATTGTTTTACAGTCTGTTTAAATATTAGTGTACTAAACTGTGAACTGAAATGCAGAATCATATATAATACTGGATTATAATTATTGATTCATTATCGTGCATATTTCTTTAATGTTGCAGAGGAAATATACTGCTATTTAAGTTTATCTTTAATAATAATACTTATACTTAATACTAATACTTAATTATGACAGCCTCAATTAGGATTTTTTCTTAAGTATTTTTTATCCATCTTTAGGCATGAAAAGGGAATAAAGTACCGAAGAAAAAAAATCCTGATTGAGGTTGTCATAATTCATGCATGACAGGGTTAAATAACAATAATTACAATGAAATACGTCATACATCTATAGTAACATTAAACGACCAGTGGGTGGCAGGGTATGGAGTGACACATCAGTGTCCAGTGTAGTGGTTTATGTGCAAGTATACCATCAACACTGATACAAGTACAAGAAAACAGCCTTTGAATAGCTGTCCACTGTAGTGACCACTATGCATGAAAGGGTTAAGCTTAAATAAGAAAAAAACGTCAAAACACTGTAAATACAGGGATGCAAAAATAAAAACTCAAAAATTGGGCACAAAACCTAATGATTTCCATGATAGCATATCTGAGAGTGACAGCAATAATAACCAGATATAGGGCAGGGATAGCACAGTAGGTAGCGTGGTCACCCCATGATCCGAAGGTAGGGGGTTTGAATCCACTGAATGGCTACCCAGAAGTACCCCTGAGCAAGGTAGCGTCCATACACACTGCACCCCAGTCGCCTGATTTGTGGGCGCCCTCTGCAGAGAGAGTAATTTCCTCAAGGGATCCATAAAGTATACAGTATTATTATATATTCAGGACAGTGTAATCAGATCTAGTTTTCAGTGTAATCAAAGATTCACATTTTCTTTTGTCTTCATGGCTTCTTCCAGGGCTAAACCTCAAACAGGTAGCAGTGCAGCATCTGATCTAGAGGAGTTATCTGAGCAGTATGAGTACATCATGGAAGAATGTGGTCATGGGAAATTCCAGTGGATGCTCTTCATAGTGCTGGGCCTGGCTCTAATGGCTGATGGAGTTGAGTGTTTTGTGGTTGCATTTGTTCTACCGTCTGCAGAAAAGGACCTGTGTCTGTCCAATGCAGAGAAAGGAATGCTGGGTAAGCATTAGCTGTAGTGATTGTTGTTTAGAATAAGCACAAGGCGAGGTCTCTTCCTTCTCAATTTGAGCACTCAAAGTACTTCACACATTCATACACTGCCTTTATCTACCTTCACACGCACACACCCAACTCACCTGTTAATGTATCAGGGACAACTGGGGATTCAGTATGTTGAATACTTTGACACATTGACAGGAAAGGATGAATCCTCCAATTTTTCAACTGGTAGATGACCCACTCTACCCACAGGTGCACTACATCTCTGTTGTTCTGTCAAAGCAAGCAGTGCTTGTCCAGCCGTATTTGGACAATGAGGCAGTTTTGTATAGTGGCTTTTAAATCAAAAGAGGAATATGTAATTGAAGTGAGGACTAATTCAAAGGGTTTAACAAAAGCATTTCATAAACTGTTTAGGGAGCTACATTAATTTTCATAAATAGCTCCACATCTCAGGGATTCATACCCAGATGAGGCCTGTTCCCTTTATATTATCAAAAATGTAGAAAATAAAAGATCTGGAGTATATTCCAGTTCGATTAAGTGTATTTGCTAGCTTTTTTATAGCAGTCATTTTATAATCAGGTTCTTAGATGCTTGTACTACTTCAACAGTGTGCCTTAAACAATGCCAAGGTGTCATAACATCAGAAATGATTTTTATTTCAATGTTTCACCAAAAGTATTATTACTTAAGCTGGAGAATATTCTTTTTCCTTTTTGCTTGCAGCTTTTAGCTGGTAGTTTTTTCTTGCTGTCAACCCAGGCACATGAACACAGTAAGTCTGTTTGCCTTATCACAATAAGATGCTGATGTGATAAATGGGCACCACAATAGATTT